GGGTAAAATCATGTGTACTATGCCAATTTTCTTATGTATAAAGATGCTTTCTTTGACGTTTTTGTATTTGAAGGATAAGCGTGTCACAGGCACTTTTAACATCTGAATTAGGAGACAAAAAGCTACTTCTTCACTGACCGTTTCATCTTTTTTTTAAGGGTTGTACTACGTCGACTCTGAGGGAAACCGGGTGTGCGGCGACATGTTTGCGGTGGGCTCTGGCTCCATGTACGCCTACGGTGTGATGGACAGCGGCGTGCGGCACGAGCTGACCGTGGAGGAGGCCTGCGAGCTGGGCCGTCGCGCCATCTACCAGGCGACGTACCGCGACGCCTACAGYGGAGGCCAGGTCAACTTGTACCATGTCCACAGCGAGGGCTGGACCAGGATCTCCCAGGACGACGTGCTCATGCTGCATCAGCAATACAAGGGGCAAGCGTAGTTGAACAAAAGTGGTTTTTTTTCTAATATCTGATGTTTAGACCTTTCTAAAATAACATTAACACGTAATAAAAACGGACTCATCTGCACATCTCCCAGTTTCATCACCTCTCAGTTGTTCTTGTCTTTAAGCTTCGTATTGTACTTTTTTCTACAATGTCGGCGAACTCCACTCAGCTCACACAGCTTGATTCGAGGGGCTACAGAGAGGGCGTCGGTGATTCAAACATGCTTTAATAAAGTGTGGGAGTAGTGTGGTGCTTTGCCCTACATACCATTCATTTCCAATCACACCCTTGAAAACTACATCCTCTTCCACAATAAAACCTGTTTTTGTCAAGAGTGTTGTTTTGTTGTGTTTTACACCACCTTCGGGTCACATAACACACATGAAATTTCTGACAGTTTAACGCTTCGTGTAAATCTATAGTGACAGGGCGTCATCTCCCTTTTAATGAAGTTGTTTTTTATCACTGTTCGTGTTTACGTTTCTGTCATCTGTTCCCCCAGCTGTTCAGATTTGGAGGGACGTCCAAAGCCTGTTTTCGCCTCCTATATGTTCTGCTTGTATTAGCACGGCGTTGCTTTGTCTAAATAGAACTGTTTAATTGCGTACCACCAGCCCCAGTAATTATGCCTCCTGAGTTGTAACGGTGTGTTTTCTTCCCTTCATTGATAATGTGTCCTTCCTTTGCTCAGGTTGCACAAATGCGTCTTTTAATTGGAAGGAGGRAATTTATTCTTTAATTCCTCCCCGCCACTCTTCGTCCCGTCCCCCCCCGCTCGTGTTCAGCGTGGTGTGCCACCCTGCCGTGGTGTTATACAATGAAACGACCTCGCGCTGGCAGTGTGCGCCCCTCCACTGGGTTTTATGCTTTGGAGTAAACACTAATAAAGGGAATTGGGTTGAAGGCTGAAGCAAGTGCACTTTGAAACCGTGGYTAAAAACTAGTTTCACAGGTGACTAGCTGGCAGATGGAATAGAAATAGGATTTCGATAAATGGAAATGAGCGAATCTCGTCTGGGACGCTGCTCTCAGTAAATGAAGTGATGGGGGCTGCAACATCAATAGGAGCAGATACTGGCGGCGCACTCGAGCCCAKCCAGATATGCTAAACTGATGCAGATTTGTGTTCGGGCTTTTCAGGAAAGCAGGTCTCTTAAATTTCCTCAATAGCTAGCTTAAGCAGTTAATAGATGGCTTGAAAAGGGTTCTATATCATCTTTAAAAAATGGTGGAGAAAGATGAGATTTGCATCCCAATTAGATATTCAACAAACATCTCTGCTGTGAAAAGATACCATGGTCCCTAATCAGTCTTGAAACAGGATTAAACATAAAGAATTTGCCTTTAGTGTTTTTCAGGTCTAAATAAAAAATGCAAATGGAGTATGGGAAAAAAAGGTTTTCTAACAATCTTGACTTTACAATGAATTGTTWAAGTTGCTCCCTAATTTAATTATATTTATACAAGTTGGACATTTTCCTCTTACTGTTATCTTTACATGAAACCACAATGTAAAGCAGTTAATGCTTGAACTCAAAAGTTTACAGTTGGATTTTTTTTATGAATAAATGGATTTTGAGAAAATGGTTAAGAGAGGCCGAGTCTKTGATCAGTATGTCACTTGTTTGACCCCCCTGGCCTGTAATTATTATTATTACTTCATTTAATATCATTAACCTTTATTTAATCAGGCAAATCCTATGGTGATCCCAGCTCTCTTATGCGAAGGAGGCCTGGGCCTGCAGGGCAGCCTTACATGCATGGTGTTGGACTGTGAGAGGAAACTGGAGTACCAGGAGGAAACCCACACAAGCACGAGAAGAACATGCAAACTACATGCAGAAAGACCCCGGTTCTAAACCAGGGATTGAACCCTGGACCTTCTTGCTGTGAGGCATTATTGCTAACCACTAATCCATCATGGCTGCCAAAAATCAAAAAGGTGAGTGGGAAAGGTGAAGCCTGCCTCCACCCTCATTTGTCCCAGTCTGTGCCTTAAGGCCCTTACCGGGCTCGAGGCATTGTGTGCTTCAGAAAATTGACCACAGTGGTACAAGTACTCCATACTGGAAGTCAATGTAAACAGTTTATCATGGCTAAATTTCTACGTAGAACTGCATATAAAAAGTCTATTTGGTGCGCTTCTGCATATTAGACTAATTCAGTGCAGATGCGTGTATCTTGAAACGCGTTTTGGCCCRATGTGATATAAACCGACAAGCTTTTCTCTCAAATCAAAGTAATGTTTGTCAACAGCAAACTGAGTTTTATTGATGTGCTGACCTAAATTTAACGTGTCGTGGTTACCAGTGGTGGGCAGCTTAGTTGCACTAACCCTAAAACACTAACTCTAAAGCACTAATGCACTGACAAATTTAGCAAAATCTAATTCGAAAGCACTAATATAATCCAGTTGACACATGGAACATTCTTCCAAGTCAATATGAGAATATTTACTGTGTGCAGAATGTTGTCACTTAGTACCCGGGCCCAAATGGAAGTCACCCGCAGGCCACATTTGGCCCGTGTGCCTTGAGTTTGACACATGTGACTTTGTAGATAAGTGACACGCATATGAACAAAATGTATGACAGCTTTCACCCTCAACTGTGAACAATAATATTGATCAATAACACAACAATAATATAGTTTTTGATCAAATGACAAATATAGATTTGCCTTGATGAGTAGACCTCATATACAGATGTCAAAGACTAATTGATATAAAATACAGTTGGCTTTTTAAGACAAGAATAATAGAACAATTTGTGAGGCAACTAACTTCTGTCTTGCCTGTCGTCACTGTACGCCTACATTATGCAAAATTTACATTGAAAGAAACTGGGATTTTAAAACCATTGTTGAAAACAACAACTGCAGAAAATCTTAAACACTTTTTTGGTTTAAACTATAAAATTGTCATGAATACCCAATACCCTTTTAAGTGTAAACTTAATTTCTTTTTTTTCTTTTTTTTTTTTGTAAACAGTTACTTAATTTCAATATTAATACCATCTACATGTCAAAAAGAAAAAAATTGTATAGGTCTTCTGGACGGGTTCTTCTCTAATGAAACGGTTCGTCTCTCCTCCAAGAGACTTCTTCAGTCTGAGAGTTTCAGGCAAAATTCAGGCTTTTAAGCCCTGCCTCCATGTGACTGATACTCACATCACATGGCTATCGTTGACACCTAATTAACACCTATTGTTAACAGGGGGTGGAGTGATACTGGCAATAGCAGCACTATAGGAGGGGGACAACTGAAAACGGAGGCCTCCACCTCTGTTTAATGATGGACAGTTGCAACAACTGTCGCAACTGTCCCCCTTCCTGTAAGCCATGATTAAACCTCATGTGTTAGCTAAATAAGCTAATCTGGATACATGTTAACAATATTAGTTAAAAGTCAACATATTACTTGTTTAAACCATATAAGTTTGAGCTGGATCACTAAAACAGTGACAAGAGTAAAACAAAAATAAAACTGGGTAAAAAATACTTTGGTACTTCAAAAACTGTTTTTTTAAATAAATCCTGGAGCAGTTTTTGAATCTGCTTACTTTTTCTTTGCAAGGTGGGACATCTAACTGAGCATGTACAGTGTGAGTGTCATCACTCTAGCTTGTTTCTGTTTGGAGAAAGATGACGTGTGGCAACCGTCCCTTGTTGCTACTGTCCCCGGTATCCCCTGCTTTAGGGGAACTGTGCCCACCACTGATGGCTACCGTATTCGGTTTTACAATACTGTCCTCGCCCTGAACAATATGGCCGCTCTCTCTGACCAAGAAAAGTCACATAATAGCACCTCTAGCCAATATACCTCATTGCCCTTAACCTCCTCACTGCTTCCCCTACAACTGATTATCTTTTGGAGTCAAATATTTATGATGAGCACCACAGAAAATCAATTTTAGCCGATAATGTGCTAAAAATTGATGTGGTAGTAGAGAGTCATTCACAACATACACTCTGAGCACAAACTGATTATGTAGGCTTTTGTAATATTGCATGAGATTACACAAAACCGCTCTTACGTTTTCTTTTCTCAGCATAAGACGATCTCCCTTTAATACCCTGACATGGAAGGTGGTGGGCGATGTGGATTCCTTCAAAGAATTTGAGGCTTTTAATGTAATTCATCTGCAGAAGCTGCAGTTCTTAGAACTATAACATGTTGACAAACGTTTGATAAATTAGTTACAGACTTAGAATATATTATACAATTTCACCATGGATTCCAAATTTTCTTATACAGAAAATGTTTCTCTTAAAATGCCAAAAGCAGGCTAAAATGTTACTAAGTACACATAT